TATTGTATAAATGGAATAGTGGGTATAATTATATTATGATAATTCATATTGCTACACTAATTATGAGATTATTGTTGTTTATGATTCAAACAACAATAGATAGCCCGTTTGTTATTTCTGCCATATGCATTTCATACGCGTACAACACTCTCCAACCTTCATTTTATCCCAATTTGTAGAAATAAGCCTTCTCCGTGTGTTTCGTGGTTATGCTACAAGAGACGGCGCGCGCCTATACTTTAGCCCATCGGATTACATGTAACGTATCCCCTCGGCTATGTATTGTCTTGAGCATCATATGCGTTAATTAGATGTCGAAGAAAGTGTTTGAGATAAATGAGTGGCGTCGAGAGAAGATGCGAGAATAGACATATAAGTCTCTTCGGGCATACTAATTATTAAATTAGTGACCATATATTGCAGACATAGGCAATTCGTTCACTAATCGGGACCATTGTTTGAAGAATAGGTCCATCATTTGTTTGTATATTAGTTCTGTGTGTTGGTCACATTTTCTTGCACATTATGGTGATTGGCCAAAATCTGTTAATTTTACTAAATTTATCGGATCAACCAAACGATAAGAGTCAATGATATTTTTAGGTAATACCAGCGCCATACTTGGTTATCGTTTGTACGTTCCCCCCTCTCCGGTGACTTTCTTCCAGAGGATTCCCAAATTCCGAAAATCCGTAATAACGATGTATGATATTAATATATGATTATGTGTGGTTGTTTTATTATTTATGTTATTATTTACTTGTTGTGCTATTAATATAAGTCATGCGCACACCCTATTGCAGACAAAGTCTAGAACAGAGTCAAATGCCCAACAAGCCTTCTTCAAGTAAACTGAGTAGACCCTGAATCAGACATTCCTGCATTCTCAATATTACTATTGTTCGATTAGGTCGATCACATATTAATAGAAATGCATTCTCCATACTCTAAATGGCTATGAAGAACAGATGACACCTGAACATCCGCAATATGTATATTTCAGTAGAAGCATAAAATTATCCAATAAAAAGTCGATAACGGCTGATCTATACAATTTAAGCCCCCTAACCCTTCCCCCACTTTTCCACTATACTATCCCGCATGACAATCTTGTATTGCGGGAAGTCCCAACTTCATTTTCAAGTAACACTTCCCTTCTCTTCCAATTTCGTTCTATGACCACTATTTCAATATATCCAATATAGAAAAGTCTCCTGAACGAGTATTATACGTGTTTAGGCTCGATAATTCGAACTCTTGTCGGAGTTTTAATGTATAAATTTGATTGTGTAATTAGTAATTGGCTAATCATCAGGCAGGTTAACAATAAGATAACAAGGATAATAGATAGATATCAATGGATGCAATAGTATCAGTGGACCATCAAGTAAGAAACAAGAATGGCAAGCGTATTCACTATGAGAACGGCAGGTTATTACTAATTATATTTGTCATGAGTGATAACAATATGAACATTAATAATAACTTAAAATATACGCCTGTAGTACTTGATAACGCAGTACATATTGGGTTACCCATATGCTGATCCCGATTTCGTTGTTTTGGTCGACTATTTTGTTCATTGAATGGATGTCTGGTGTGTTATTGGGTCAATTAAAAATCCGCTTTAATATTCCCATAAACCAGCTGGGAGGAGGTGGGGGTTTCGGTGACCGTAATGAAGAAAATAATAAAGCAAAGAGGTTATCACCACCCATACGTTTGTTAATCTATTTATATCACCATGATGGTGTTTTCGGGGGAGGTCGCATCTCTCAATAAGATCGGAGAAATCATCGGCAAACAACGTATGTAGTGTTAATTAATACATAACATATTGCATAAACATTGGTTTTATGTCACACTGGTTGCCAACTTGTGGCAATATTGTGACGAACAATGGGGTCGTACATCGATCAGGAATAATTAATAATGCTCTATTTTCGAGTCAGTAGAATCAGAAGAGCGAAGAGTTGTTATTTGTTGGAGGTAAATGAGAGATCCTTGGCAGCGTGTTACTGAAACAGATTACATGAGTTGTGCTGCAACCCTTCTCTCCCTCTCCAACGTTAGACGTCATATGCAGTTTACGGATAATTCCTTGGATTGATAGATCCAATAAAGTGAAATTCAGATCACGTCGATAGTTGCTCTCCTGGTTAAGACCATTGTCCTATGAAAAGAGCTCTGTTCATGAATCTTAAAGAGATGTTGTGAACCAACTGAAACAAATTAAAGATGTTATATCTAAACAATTGCGTCGTCTTTATTTGTGATAATGCCGAGTTTAAATGAGTAATCTTCCAAACTGTTAAAATCATAAAAAGATTTCAGACTTTCGGCTAACGACCCCTGATGCAGCAAGATCAATCTACATACCTGCTAAATCGCATCTTTCAACGCCAAATCGAGAAATGGTGGCGACAAGTATGTGTTCCCTATATAGTAAGAATTTTGTTTCGCACCTCTTCTGTCATTCACAGACCATTGCTTGACTTCCCGGATGTCACCGCAACGTAATCCATGATTGCATCTGATGGTTGAACGGCGACTGATGTTGGACGATTTGTTCCGAAACCTTCAGTAGACGAAACCTTCCCCGACTATTCAAACTCGTCAACTTGTCAACGGAATGAATCGTGGATTTTGAAGAGTATCTTCGTTAAACCGATTTCCGTTGCCTGCACATGTTTCTACGTTGATAAGAGTATGAGGCAAAACACATCTAAAGCCGAATTGGCCATAGTGTTAGTTTCGGTCATAGGTTAACATCTCGGACAATTTTCTGTTAATGACCCAGATTTGTCGAATGCTAGGTTTGGGGAGTAACGCACGACAGTTCCCGACAAGAAATTCCCCCGAAAGAACACACATTCCACTGACCTCGATCTTCAATTATAGAAATCCATTTGACATAAAATCTGCAAGACATTCCTTCTTTCAATATTTCAAGTACTTTTTTGTATAACTAACGGTCTGATCAAAGTTTTTGTTTCCCGTGAAATCAGCCGTTGTATTGACGAATCATGGGAACAGAATGTAAAAATTTTCAGAGTAACCAAGCCACATGACATGTTAATCGATACAAATTCTGCCAAGGACATTTTCTATATTAAAAATATTGGTTGCACAATTATTAACAATACTAAGAATGCTATGACTGACCAACCATCTGCTAGTGTTATTGTTAACATGAGAAGGACAACGATATTAATGTTCTACATTTGGTGATATTGCGTCATTATTATTGGAATACTAACTAACAATGAAGGCCGTAGAGTTGATGTGCAATCTACCATCTCCACGCAACGCAATAAGAATGCATTTTATGTTAATGATTTTCCGAGCGGCTCACAACACGCCATTCCCTTCATTCAAATCTTCATCTCGTTCTTTATAATCTCTGGGTTTCCCACCATGCCTTGTTCATCATTTGCTCAATGTCCCTGCCAAAGTTTACGTTTGTTGCCAGAATGTACGGTACCACATTAACTGCACTCATGTAATTAACACCAAACTTACCCGCAACTCGTCATCTTTTCCATCGTCCCGTTGGTATTGTTCTTGGGGGTTGGTAGCAAACAACTTGTCTAACCTCCTTGAGTTTCATTCGGTGAGACAAACTGACATTTAAAGTTTCTGATAGGGTTCGATGTACCGATTTGGTAAATGCAAGAGAATTAGGGTTAAACTATTTGAGGTCTTAAAATTAGACTCAGGAATAGGGTATGGAGTGTGAGAAAGGATAAGCCGCCAAACTGGTTTATTAAGTTCAGATGAAAAACTTTTTAACGTTCGACAAACGCCCTGGATTGATAAATATTACGCCATTGCATATCCAATCAGGAACAATATCGTGATCAAATTATCGTTTGCGTTCATAGTCACTCTCGCTTGTCTGCCCCCAACCCCCACTTCGCACTACCAATTCAATTTCCCCTTTGCATTTCAATCTTTCTCCTCATCTCTCCCATTCGTATTTTAAAATCTTTACAACTTTACTTGAAACAAAAAAAAAGTTACAAGAAAGTAAGGCAATTTTGTCAGATATTAAAAAAAGGCGGGTGTTTCTGTACTTGAATACTTTTATGTACTAAAGCAAAAACTAAAAAGGGACAACTACAAACAGACCTACAATAAAATATCGTTGTACAAGAATGGGTGTGTGTTTACATTTCGGTAAAAAGAATATTAGGGGATTTGGGGATCGTAGAAAAGAAAAAGGGAAAAGAAGAAAATAAAAATTTTTTGGGGAGGTTTTTTTTTTGTTTTACAATACTATATGTACATATTGGAAAAATTACTTTTTTTTTTTTGATTTTTTTGTTAGATAACACCATCCGGACACTTGTTAGAAGAGAAAGCCCACTAACATCGCACCAAACCAAAACCAATTCAAAAAGGGAGAAAATGGGGAAAGGAGAAAAAAAAGTTTTGTAGAGAGAAACGATTTTGTTTTAAAAAAAAAAAGAATAAACAAGAAGAGAAAAAAGAAGAGGTAAAAAAGAAAACTACAATCACCCACTAGTAAAAAACGAAAAAACCCAACCAAAATTTTTTAGTGTTCTTTAACTGTCCATTGAATGGTATTATTACGTTTGTAAGAGGGAAAGAAGTAAAAAAGAATAAGAAAATATAGTCCGTCTGTTTGGTTTCCCTTTGCCGGAGCATTTTTGTCGTACGTCGGGATTTCGGTTGAGTATTATTAGATTAGATGAGCCATCGTTTTGTAGTTAAGTCTTATAAAGGCTCGAAGGTATTATTAAGAGAAAGAAGAAAAAGAAGAAAAAAGAAAAGAAAAAGAAAAGAAATAAATATAAGTAACGAATAAATAATTAAAGGCTGTGCAAAAAGCGTAAGAACAGAAAAGTGTATGTTCAGAACTTGTTAATACTACACGTTATCTTACAGTCGCTGTTATCACACAAACACAATTACTTCTCGAATACAAACTCACCATTAATTAAAAAAGAAAAAGAAAAAAGAGAAAAAAAAATAGATTAACTGTCATATGTGGCCAAAGGCAACTGTTCACTTAACAGATGCTCATTGACCGAGGGAAACAATCCAAAATCCGACTCATCAAATCCATAATACCCAAATTCATTCGGCTGACTGCCGTTATAACCAAAATCAAAGTACTCGTACGCTGCGATCATCTCACTTTCGGGAGTAACACCCTCCACCATCGACAAATTTCCTATGTCAAAAGCGGTCTCAACACAAACATACTCGGGAGATTCCGAAGTCGAAACTGCCACCGGAGCAGTTTCGAATATCGGTTCCATATCAAACATTGCCATGGTCTCGTCAATGGATGCAAGTGAACCTCGTCGGGAGTCATACTCGGTACTATCTACCGTGGCCACTGTGTCTATCGAAGCTCTTCGAGTTGCGGAAGAGTCATTATTAGTTGTAGTCGTATTATTATCCGTAGTCGGCGCCGGTGTGCGCTTGGTTCGGCGGCGCTTCTCATGCGGTCGTCGTGGTCGATATTTGTACTCCGGATATTTCTTCATGTGTTCCATTTTCGCTTCGTCGGCCAGGCGCTGGTACTTGAGTTTTTCCTCGAGAGGTTCCTTGTGCCACATTTCCCCTATTTGCTTTGATACTTCGTTATTAGAGATACCTTCGTTCGCTGCGACAATTTGAGGCTGTTTGCTTCTTCGATAAAGGATAAAAGCATTCGGTGGTCTCGGCGGTTTCTTTGGTTTGGTTGTCTTGGCCGTATTTGACCCACCCCTTGGAGCCGGCCCTTGGGGACGGGTCAAGACCAAGGAAGGGAATCGGGGTACATCAGATGCTGATGATTGAGAAGAAGATAATGACGATTGGGAAGTTGTTGGTAATGCTACCGCCTGAACTACTTCACGCTTTTGCAGCTGTTGTTGCTGTTGCTGTTGCTGTTGTCGTTGAGCTTGTCGGCCATGAACGATAAGGTTCGCCACCGGCTGTACTTGAGTTCCGCTTGGGATCAGAACCGGTTCGAATCCTTCGGGGATAAAGTACTGTGTTCCCTTTTTCTGTTGGAATAGCGAGAGGAGTTGGTCATGAGGAATATATTCGAATGTTGGAGCCCTCTGTTCAGATGTCCTCGTTTGTGTGGATGCACGATGTACTTTAACGCTATTATCGTTGTTGTTCATTGTATTAGATTATATATTAGATTAAGGGAACAGCCTGCGGTGGATTAATATTGAAGTAACAGTAAGTAAAGAAAGGGGAAAAGTGGCAATGGTTCGTTTGTTGTTTGTGTTGACGTCTTGAGACAAAGAATTTCAAGAGATGGGGATGATTGAATTTATATATTAAAGAAAGTTGTACAAAACCTTATGAATGCAGAGTGAGGGGATAGAGTGAGTGAAGTAAAGAGGGTGCTTTCGTTGATATGTTGGCAATGATACCGATTGGGGTGTGTTATATATGCGACGCTTGCAACAATAGAAGATGCAGATTGATAAAAAGACCCGCATTTAGCATTCTCAGGTAACATGTGTACAAAAGCCCTCCTTCTACTGCGATACTCCGCCCAAGGTGCACAGCATATTGAATGAATATCTACGAGTATAATTTTAAATTAAAATGTATGCACTTTGATATACAGGTAACGAAGTACATGTGTATATAAATTTATTTGGTATATCATTAATGCGGTATTATTTATATGTCTGTGTGTGTGGCTGTAATATTTCATTTTTGTTTATGTAATACCAAATACAAATTATGTAACGAATATACTTTTTTCAATACATTTTATTTATTAACGATTAAGTCGTAATTTTGGGGGACATACCTTATCACTGTATCCTTCAAAATGGTCCTCATACCGTTTCACTTCTAATCGGTATTCTTTCACTTAATATAGCAGTAGATGCCTAAACTAAGACTTACATTCTAATTGACGTTTTATCCGCATAAAACTTGACAAAACGTCAAACCATTTCTCCCTGTTCGAACGACATCGGTTTTACTCTCTTGGCTCGATGTCTCATTTGAAATTCTGCGGTCAACCAGCTCTTCTCGTCCTTTTCTAGTAGCTCGCGCCATAAATGCAAAAGCGAGTTGGCTGAATGAGGGGTGTTTTCTTAAAATTTGGGTTTCCGAATGTATTTGTAATATGATTATGCAATGTTAAATATCAGTACGCTATTGAGCTATAAATAACTGACAGATAATCTTACTTGGTAACGGCAGTCTTGAATATATACTAATGTATAACTTTTATAATGTAGGCTCTATAAATACTGCATTTAATACTTGATCGGATTCTTTTCTTCTCCATTTTCGTGCAGATTATAAACTTTATCAGAATGGAAAATTAGCAAACCGCTCATCAATCGATTTGTAAACCAACATCCTTCAATGCCGAATTAATAATTTTGCGCAGATAAAGTGATGTATTTGGTTTGAATGAATGAATGGAACTGCTAAAAAGTAGAGAAATAAAGAGTGAAACGAAATAGTGGACTGAACATAACAGGGTAGAATGGAACGTAAGACAACTTTAATAGTATATACTAGTTATGTATGGGTGTTATTTTTATTACATTCATATTTTACACTTTCTGCCCGTCTTTAAAGTTTGGTTCAAATTTCTAATTCAAAGGTCAATGTAAGTCCCATGACACAAATGTGACTGAGGAATGTGTTTCCCACGTCTAAGAGTCAGCAACAATAGCACATATTCTTCCTTAAAAGACGTTAGTATGGGGGGTAATGGGAGAAATACTTGAATTTTCGTTGTGATTGACTGAATTGAAAGGGGATGAGCAAGCACGAAGAGGGATACAAAGAATGATGTATTGTTGGTTTAATTAACGTGATAATAATGAAGATCTAAGAGTATTATGGATACTCCCTGCCACATCAATATACTCTCCTCTCTCTTTCCTTAGTTTAGCCGTGATTGCGTCACTCAACATATAAATGACAAAAAAATGTAATGCAATTAAACCAAATCCATGGGTCGATATTACCATTATGTTATTACATCACATCAAACCTATCATTTCCTAATTAACCGCTCCTTATATTTATGGATTGCAAGTATACCAAATATATTCGACCTTTTGTTCATGGGCATTGTTTAGTATCGCGAACTGCATTTACCATTATCCATACGTATATTCGAACTATATATACAGCCAACAAATAAACTAATTCTAAGTATATACTTGGTTGGTAAGTTTACTTGTATACCATTGTAGTTATAGTTTATAATTTATGTGCATACGAGAAGTGTGACTTAACAATGTTCGATCAAATACCACTTGTTCTTTGAATGAAATTCAGGAGTAAATCCAAAAGACAAGAGACTTTCGACAAGATGCGCTTTGTCATCGAAGTATACTTCTAAAGGATTGAATATACTAAATGCAATTGTGAACGTACAAAAATAGTCGTCAGCGATAATAGGAAAAAAAACGCAGAGAAAAGAGAACAAAGAAATATAAGCATACAAACAAAATGCAAGACAACTCGTCTAAAAATGCACACTCACGCTCAGACATTGGCTAATATAGTTGATAGTTACATGTATCTCATAAAAACTAACATGTCACAATTTGAAATTCACTGTCATCACATATTCGGTTACTATGCTAGGAAATAGCAAAGAACACCAGCGCATAATCAATGCCCCGATGTCAAAAATAACACATTCCTTAAAATTGCTTTATTTACATGTACTGTATATCAGCGATTATATCGCTGCATTTATTCGCTGTATTTGTAAGTCATGTTCCTTCTCCTTGCTCATTAGTTCTCAGAATTTTCTTCATTGGTTTCTTTTTAATATATCCAAAAAAGAACATACAAAATAAACTTGGAGTTGCATAATTATTTATTATTGATGAACAAAGCCAATATGAAACTAATTGTAAAATTTTTACGAGACATGAGTTAAAGTTTTAATGACATCACGGTGTTGATTCTCTGTTAAACGTAAATACACATATTACGCATACGTTCGCTTCCTCGCAGAACAGCCGAGAACGTATTTTATTTGTCCCAACATTTAAATTCTTTGTGATAATTGGGTGTATTGTCTGTATCTTTTCTAGGTACAGTCACCAGCTGCAGTTTCGAAATCGCCATATTTATTTTTATTCATAGGACCAGATCGTTCTTATCAGCTGCGAGAACATTAATAATGCATAATAATAAGCCGGCAACAAAGAGCGATAATAAACGAACGTAACAAACAATGTAACAATAATTATAAAAAAGCGGCTTTGATTATGTTCTATAAAATAAAAACTTTCGGTTGATAAGTAAATCCGAACGCGTTATCAATGTAGCCGACTGTTCCCATAACTCATCAAGCAAGTGTAGTGGTTCATTTAATCAATTTCAATATAGTTGCATAACTTGGCAAACTTTTAATATAGACCGAATACCTTTATCAGTTAAGTAATCTTTCAATGATTGGTAGAGCTCGAGCTCATTATCTGATACATGTTTATAGACTCTATCGTTTATCTCCTGACTTTGTGTAATGCAAACAAAGCCACATTCAATAAAACTGACTGATATGTACTAGTTTGCGAATAAAGGACAATTATTAGTTTAAAGTATGTCTATGCATAATCATGAATGAAAAATGGAAAAATTGTTCTTGTGAATATAATAGCATTGAATTTTTTATGCAAGATCAACTTTAAAAAATCTTGTTGTACGGTTCACTATCCAAATCCGAATACATATACGATCGTAGAATTAAAAATAATCTTATATTCAAGAATGCATTGCATTACATTTGTATTGCAAATTTCAAAACGGATATTTGTTCTCGAGTATCGTTGACATTTGAAGTCTGTAGAACTTTCTGCACGATCGAACGATTACTCAATTACCTTCCATAAATAGAGAACGCGATTAGAATATACGCTGCTTACGAACAATTACTGGTAAATCATTAACGGACCTGATTTTAAGGTCATCTGTCGTCTTCATATTCGTGCAGTTTTATTTTTTGCATCTTATTAAAAGGAACAATTATGAAATAGACAACAGTGTATCTTACATTGTCAGGGTAACAAAGACTTTGGTTGCTGCATCAAAAAAATTTTTTCCAGTCTTGATTTTAATCACTCTATTGTTTACAACAACACAGTAAGAGAGAAAAAACGCCACAAACCAACGTCTCTCTCCTTGTTTCGTGTGTTTATAGCACACAATACGTTTTTCTATATAAGATCTTGAAGGCAACAGGCTTGGAGCATAAGCCTTCACTTTAGATTGTCTTCCGTTTCCCATCAAGATATTCGGTCTTTTTGCAATTTAGTTTGACTTAGCTCTATCTTTTAGTTTAAATCTAACTCTAATTCTGTTCAAATTTTTATCTATTCAACCCTTGATTAAAAGCTTGCTCTTAGTATTTGATATTTTGGAAAAGATCGCTGACCATCGATTGGTTATAATGTCAATTGTCACATCTAATTCGTATGTTTGCAGACTTAATCGTAACGTATTGTTATACACGTAATTTCGCTTTCTTCTAATATAAATTTGATTTAATCTAAGTTCAAAGTAAAGAAGTCATTCAATGAATCGTTTATCTCTATCTTTTCCACATAAGCCACACGCATAAAAGCCCAGACATGAAGTGGTCAAAGCTTTCAAGCACCTCAGTATGTCAACACACAGTATGTTCTTGTTTCTGTAGCATAGTATGTGACTTGGTTACTAAAACACCGTAATACATAAATGCGGAAATAAAATTAATAAATTCTAACGTTCTCCGCCTTAAAACAAACGTCTATTTAAGCATTGTCTGATAGTTTAATAAACTACTTCGTCGTTGCGGTAAGGCTCACACTTGATGCTGTCGTAAACCGTGTTTTTAAGTTTGGACAAACCTGTCAACAAGTCGCTGAATACACTCCAGCTATAAAATCTATATCAGTCCCTGGATTAATATAATAATTTTAATAATAGTCCGTTCGTTTAATATTAATATAGTCTGCCGTAAATAGTGGAATGAGTTCATAATAAAATCAGGCTCATCTTATAGTCACCTTTTTTTTAATCTTATTGTTCCTATAGTCACTTGGATTAAACATTAAAAAGGCCTTTATACAATCACATTTGTTTATAGTCACTACACTAAATTCTCGTTCCTTATAGTTACCTATACCACGTGATTATACCATTTATGCATGTACGCAATATCGATATATATTACATATGTCAAACGGCAGGCATTTGACTTGCAGAAACAGGCGATTAGCACTAAAGCCGTCGTTTTTCACTATACTATAAACCGTCTGGGCCAAAATCCGCCGAAGGAAATTATCTCCGGGTCTGCCACTCGTAGTGAATAAATAACGTAGCTCTGAGCAATTTACCTTTTCCACTCATATTGGAGTTAAATTAAAAAATTAATACTAAATTATTCTCTCTTTTGATTCTAAATTCCAGACTTTCTCACTTACGGTCAATAAATAATGCTAATCCTAGACAAGTATTTGTTCTCGAGACAAAATGCTACGGTTCCAATAGCGATAGTCTACCGAGCCGAGGTCTCCAAAAGTAAATAAATAATACCACGCGTGTCTAGTAAAACAATTAATTATACGTTGCGCGGGCAATTCTAAGAATAGGTTGTTAAAACAAAGGTCAAGGAATAGGCATCTTAGAAATGCCACACGGGACCAGGGGATTCATGTACAAAGAACTACTCGTTTATTTACAATAAAGAATCAAAAGTTTATGTACTCACGATTTTGACAGACAATTTGATTTATTTACGTGTCAAATACTCGTATGGGACGTGCCGCAACAAAACCAGACAAAGTGAACGTATCGATATGACATCGTTATTTATTAATAATGGTAATTGAAAACGTTACAAGCGTGAAAATTTGGAGAATAATTATGATATCACTAGCTAACACTAAGCTTCTTCGTCAAGAAATCTTTCATCACGCACAATGCCGGCTGATTCATTGGGGTCAGAATTGGACATTTGGTGGGTTGACCATATCAAAGGTGTATACGGGAGTTTGTCGGCGATGCAGAAAGTTGTAGTGAACAAGGGACGAAAGTTTTTTCGCCAATCTCGCTTATCAAATCCTTGATTCCGCATTCAATCGCATGACTTTAATGAAGTCATCCCGTTGCCAAGCTGGAGCAGACTTAAGAGACTCAGGATAAAGACCTGGTCTGTAATTAATCATAAGCGCTTAAATAATAGTAAAATGAGCGACCTATGAATCAGGTTCCAGATCATTAGAGTCAGTGAATTGCACTTTTTATAGAAAAGGTAGAGAAATTTGCTAACATACCTTCGAATTGAGTATCGACATATTGTTTGATAAGAAACATGCGAGTGTCCGTAATTCTATGAATGCGTGAAACAGCCCTGTGAGCTCTTCGCGGACGGAAGGTTCATCTGCTCCAGATCATATAAGCATCGGTAATATATGAGGTTGTAAAGAAGATTCAAGTGACTCACATTGTATAAGTACATGCTTTCGAAAAGTTCTTCAGCATCCTCTTTGGACAGATCGCTGACGACATATGGAGTATAAATACGGCATAAGAAGAAAAAAAAATATGGCAACGTACAGAGAGAAATCATGTTCGGATCCAGTTTACACAAAGAATGAGTCGGAGGACGTGAAACTTTTGTTCCTGTTTTGTATTCAGCATCATCCACTGAACCGGAATCAGACAACACTTCACCCAACTGATCGAGCCTATTTGTCTTGTCGATGACAAGGATGGGCTGTAGTACATCCATGTCGCTCCACCAACTCTATTGCGAAGCCTATCACTAATTTTGCAAAGCAGACGAATAACTGCTGTCTCAGCAGTAACTCCAGAGGTCAATTCGTTAAATTGGATTTCATGTCGACTGCCTTGACACTTTCGGACAAAGTAGTGACTTTGTCAAAAAACCTTTCGTATTGCCTGGAGATCGAATGTATAAGTTCATTGGTGTGTCAGATTGTCCTCTACGGAGTTCGATAAATAGAGTGTTTTATGCCGAATCACTCACTACCTTGCGCATTAAAGCATTTCCCCAGTGCTAGGGTGACTCAGGATGATATGAAGTCCAGGCAATCTGCTTTTGAATATCTTTTTGCAATAGTCGATTTCACGTTGCCGTTAGAAGATATCAACCCGATCTGCTTGGCTACGGTTCACACATGGCGGATGCCATAATAATAAGGGAGTAAACGTTTAGAAGATAGTTGATGATGATCATGTTCTGGCCGTGGCAAAATTCAGCCCGATTCACCGTTCGAAATAAGCACATTTAATTTCTCACATAAACAATGTTGATTAAATGTCGCTTATTGGTTGTTAGATGATGTGCCTACTGCGAAACTATTATGTGTGTTCCTTATCGTTACCAGATTTAATTACTAAATTTGGTAAAGGAGCAAATTAGAAAAATAGCAATTTCTTTATTTGAACAAAATCTATATAAAATATCATCCATGACTAGTTAATAATGACCAGGTAAAACTAATTATGATACCTCCTCTAACACTTGGAGGCAAATCACTCTCCCTCTACCTCTATTGCTAAATTTAGCAAATACCTACTATTAAATGTTGTATAACGACGTCACTATAATTTTTTCACGCGTAAATGTATGCTTATTTCAACTTATTCTTTATTTTCCTTTATTTATCACTATGCGAGAATTTTTGTATTCTTTCATGTTGCTTAATAGAGTGTCTCTATCAGATAATTGAAGAATGCTTCATATGATAACAATACGTTGTGTTAGTATTATAATTGAATGACGAATGATGTTGGGCTCAATAAAGTGGTTCTGAAATGATATCGTATTCTTGTAAACTAAGCATCTAATAAATATCCAAATTTTTGATTTGTTTTAATGAGAGTATGTATTAGATAGTTAAAAAATTATTAGTTTGTCTAAAAATAAACAGGTTGTTGCTAACGAAAAGTGAGGACATGTCTCGAATCACTGACTTTCAAAAATCATAATCGAAGATTAGCGGAAATTTTAATTTTTTTCCTCTAAGTAATAATCAAAGAAAAACTTTATTAAATGTCGCGCAATAGATATTCAAAAAACCCATTTGAGTAACTTCTAACATCAAATTTAACGTCTTAATCTACATGTGAGACAGTAAATTAATTATTGTGGGGGCTGAAGCTGAAACGGGCTGATGATGAAACGCTCGTGACTTGAAATTTATCACGTAATTAACACGGGGTAGGCAAAATATATCACGTATGTAATGTTTGTT